TGTTGTGTGTTTTGAATGGACTATTTTAATAATATTATATTGTATGTACAAATAAAGATACTTTACTGATGCTGCTTATGTATCGAAATAATTAGGAACGACAGCTGTCTCGTGTGTGTTCTCAGTGGGGTGTACTAATCTAGTAATAAAACTGTTAATTAAAAAAAACTAAGGTGTGTGCTTTAGACCTCACAATTTTTAAAAGTGAAAACAGCAACAAGGCCTGATTATTAATATGAAATATAAATTATAAATAATAGCTCATTATAAAGAGGATCAAATGCTGAACATTTCCCTCGCTTACAGTATGCAGGTCTGATTTTTAGCTTCTGAGATATGTTAATCCATATCTTCCATAAAACCCTTTATTTTGGGTATGAGGTTCTATTGTATCTCAGTATTTTTATTATATCTTTCCATTTGATATTGGTAAATAAATTTTCTACATGAAAACAGACCAAACAGTATTTACCTATTGTCTATTTTATTCATTCTTTCGAGCATTTGATCCACCTCTACTGAGTTTTTTACATTATTGTTACTATCTGATTTTAGGTTATTGAGTGTGGAATTGAGATATTTTGCCAAAATTTTCAGTTTTTCCATTGATATTACTAATGATAGGACTAAGTGGAGCGCCACTTTTATGTAACTTTACTGATCCATGTATTCTGGGTGTATCGTAGTTAAGGTTAATTAGTTTAATTTTGTTTAGTAAGAAATTTTAATGGTTAATAACAAAGTTTATTACATAAAATATAGACATCAAAGCATGGTCGATCTAAAAATGTCCTTCATGAATATTAATGAATTGAATAATAGCTCATTACAAAGAAGATGAAATGCCCTCGCTTACAGTATACAGGTCTGAATTTTTAATATCTGAAATATTTTAATCCATATATTCAACTAAACTAACCTCATTATCATTTGGTTTTTGACACTATTTTTCCATTTCTCCTCTCTAACAGATCATCGTGTTAAGATACTATTTTGAATTATAGCTTATTACTGAGAGGATGAAATGCTGAACAATTTCCTCGCATGCTGTCCTGATTTTTAGTTTCTGAGATATCTTAAACCATATATAAAAACATTTCAATTAGTCACCTGTAGCCGACTTTACCCGAGCTTTAAAATCTGACGGATCAATCTAATTCACTCTCCGCAATATTTATAAGGCTTAGGAAATGATCCCATTTTACATTCAAATCATGAGGACCATTTTTTTATTTTCCAATTTAATTTCTGTGGCCATTGATTTATTTTAATTGATTTTTTTTGTTCATTATTATTATTGTGTTGTTAAATATGAATTTATAAATTTTTATTTTTTCAATCTCTGCTGACTAGAGCCCCATTAAGTTTTAAAAAGCTAAAGCTCTAACGTAATGCCAAAACACTGTTTACACTTTATGATGATTTTATTTTCAAGCACAGCTATCAATATTCACTTACTTATCAAAAACAAAAATCTTCAAAGGAATCTGTGTTGGAGGTCACAGAATAATTGATCTTTTTATTTTATTTTTTATGTGGATATCCCACAGCAAGTAGCATTAGAAATTTATATTAGGTGATGTTAACTAGTATTGGGAAGCAGTTTCACTCGGATCACATTAAATTTTCAAAGCATTAAAAGTAGCTAGCATATTATATGAATTGCTGATTAGCAGTTTTTGGTATTTTGCAGATGAAGTCTGTATTTTAATGTATTATTCATATAGTTGTTTGATTCAGGCATTTATGTTTATTTGTTCTGAAAAAAAGGTGTCTTATTGACTTTGTATTATTCATTTCATTCATTGTAATTGAGACAAATAACCATGTGTTTCCTGTCTTTAATTTTATTGTTTTACTGAAATTAGATATAAATTCTTTATAAACAGCCAAATAAACTGTAGATAAATAAAAAAGTAAATTTTCAGCCATCCATTCATTTTTGGCATTACTAAATAAAATATTAGAAAACTTATTTCGATATTTTAATAAGAAATATTTAAATTTTTATCGAAGTATCTGAAATGGTCTTTAAATTTCCTTATTAGTATTACTGATACCTTTAGATACTGACTAGAAGTTTTTTATTTTGTAATAACATTTTTGTCTGAATGAGGATTAACTACCTACTTAATGCTTATGACTACTTAGTCACATGGTTCAAAGGCACACACCTCAGGGAGGAGGGAAGGAGAAGGGGCGCCATCAATAAAAATATTGAGGGGACAAGGATATCATTTCACCTCTCTCCCAAATAATTTGAAGTAAAAAAAAAAAAATTTAAATTCATAACAAATAAATAAGCTACATGAATGAATAAAATATGTGAACTAAAATCTAATAAGAAAATAGAAAAACTTGACTATCTGGCTAGGCAAAGTCTGTTAAGTAGATTTATATTTTATCACAATCTGAATACTCCTATTATTCCTGTAATGAAGGCTATTCTCTCCCACATGTTTAATTTATACAAATATATAATATATTCAATTTTTTAGTTAGGATATTTTCAAATATATCCATATGCATAAAAAACCCTACAACTATACAAACATATACAAAAATTTATTTTAATTGGTCAGTATCATATTTTTTCGCTTCATAATAATTATGTTGAATTTTTGTACTAAGAGTTATAATAAACTCCTGCCATATATACATATATATATTTTTTTGTTGCTCCTTCCTTGAGCCTATGGCATGGTTTTCAAAGCTGCCACTCTATTTATTATATCAATTCAAGCATTCTGCTGTACTTTATTGAACCATCTTAAAACCAATTTTTCTGTATCTACTGCCACTTTTATAAATAGTTTATTCGAATTGACAATTCATTATTAAAATTTTTGAATTATTGTTTGGTTCTTGATTAGTTCAGGTGAATCCAAGATTTAATTGATTATTAAATCAGTAACTAGCCACACTTATATTATTTTTAGTCTTTACTTAATCATTGAGGTTTTTAGAGTGTGAATGAGAGGTCTCAAATGAAAACATTTTTTTTTGTTTCACTACTTATCTAGGGAATGCATAGTGAGGAATTGAAAAATGTTTTATAGATATTTCTTAATAGGACATTCTTAAGCCCTTTAAGACCTAAAAAGTTATTTCTAATAGATATTATATTATCGTTTTTTCTATTCTAACCTATATGAAATGAAATGAAAATATTTTTTTATTATCCTGGGACTGTTGTCCCTTTAGGACAAATTACAGATACAGAATAAATGCCTGTGTGGCCATACATAAAATTTATTATTAAGATTAAGATTTTGAAAAAATAATAAAACAAAAAATATAACTATTACACTAGTTATATGCAACAATAGTACAAAGTTGTTTGGAACATAAAAGAGTTTTAAGAAAAACTTTTATCACGGTGTTATCAAAGTCTAATTATTTGTATGACAATAACTTAATTAAATCATAAAAGCCCTGGCAGTTTTTGCTGTTTTGGTGTAACAGTTGAACTATATAAATTAAAAAATAAATTTTAAAAGAGTTAAATTTTATGAAACATAATGAACAAAAATTAATGACTTTAGTTAAGAAATACGGAGCGATCTGAGATCAGAGTACTCATACATAGAGGAGAAAGACCAATAAAGAATTGCTTTCAGAAACTGGTCAATCAATATCTCATGATATGAAGGCACGGAGATTAAGATGGGTGGGACATGTAGCTCATAGCAATCCATCTGGAAGCTTCTATGTAACAATGAATGCCTCAATAGAAGGCAAAAGACCACGTGAAAGGTCAAAAAGCAGATGGATAGATAGAATCAACAGAGCTCCGTGCAGATAAATGGAAAGAAATAGCCCAAGACAGGCAGAGACGGGGCAGGCTTGTTAAGGCAGCAAATGATCTACATAGTCTGTAATGCAACAGAAAAAATAAAGTTAAGAAATAATTTGGTAAATCAGGTTTATAACACTGACCGATATTTTTTAAACAAGATATATGATATAAAATAATCTTAATCTCAAAACTAATGTTTTATGAAATCCACCCTTTTGATAATGTAGCTCTCTGTAGGCTGATGGGTTTCACTTTTTTTAAAATTTTTATTTTACTTTCAGTTAATATTTTGATTTAATGGTTTTCAAAAGTTGATTGAATTTCTATGTACAATATTTGTGCTTGTGATTGTATTGTAGTTTATCATTTTTATTTGTCTACAGACAATATTAATATCAGTCATATCGTAATCTTATGAGTTCCATGTGTTTTATTATTGAATATTTATTTGAAAAAATTGTGGATGGTTTACAAATCCTTAGAGTCCGCATGATGATTTGAAAGCTACTATGCCTCAAACTGTTTTGAAGTGCCATGTAAGTCCTTCTAGCTTGAAATGAGGGTGCATAAGCATTGTAGTTCTATTTCTTGTAGTGTTATTAACAAGTTTTTTTTTTTTTGTACTGTAAAAAATCTTTAAACACTGTCTATAATCACTGTTTTCTTATTGATTTTTGTAAGAACAATGAATTATTTAGTACTATTCCTTAATTTAAACTTTATTAATTCAATGATTTAGTTCACAATTATATAAAGATTAAAATCCTATTTTATAATGTTATTTAGTACGCTTTAAATGCTTTACTAGTATGTTTTCAAGTAGGATAAGAAACGTAATAAATACATATGAGTAAAACAAAAATAATAATTGTGTTATTGCTAATCTCTGCTTTATATTTTATTGTAAATCTAATATTTAAGGTTTATTTTGTTACATATTAAAGAGCAATCGTCTTTTGTTTTTGTTTTATATATATATATCTTGTGCAATATAATTGGTAATTTATTTTGTAATTAAATAAAGAAAATTAAAATAAATTGAATTGAAGCCAATATGAAAAATTATGCTGTTACCTGATAACTTTCTATTATTTAACTGATTTGGGAACGATCTTTTAAATTAGACTTATTTTAGAAGTTTAATCTATTCTTATTTTGTTCTTTTTAACTTATTCCTAACTAACTTACTAACCTTTTTTAGGGGCATGATGGTAACATCAGGTGTGGTTAACATTAAAAAAGATACTTCTAACTTGATAGGGATAAGCATTGGTGGGGGAGCTCCCCTGTGCCCCTGTCTTTATATTGTTCAGGTACTAACAAGATTTAAAAAAAAAAAATCTACTCAAAAGGTGCATGATGATAAATGTTAATGGCATTATGTCTGATAATCTAGCCTGTTCTAGTAAATTATTGACAGTATTAGCATTTGGATATGACTTGCATGATACATTTCTCTAACTAATTTTAACACAAAAAAAAACATTTTGTAGTATGATACCTTTTTTTTTTAAATTTAAATTTCATATTTTTCTTTAAAACAAACAAATTAATTTTAGTAACTAATATTTTATTTTTAGTAATTGCCATGTCATATTCGATGTCTGTATTACTATTACTATACTTTGTCTTGGAAGACAAATAATTCTTAATATACAACTTCTGAATCGTCCATGATGTGAAATCTAGGCTGTGACAAAACTCAGTTCTGTCTGTTTTCCAGTCTTCACTGTATTAAATTAGGAATATGCTACCATACAGTATCCTGTTGAAAAAGTATTTTCATCCTCTGAAGCTGGATTTTAAAATTGAGATACAGATATTCTAACTGTTTTCAAAGATCTGATTTTATGAATTTGCTAGTATAATAAATTAAAAGTTTCTATCTTCTAGAAACCATATCACTTTTTTTTTTTTTTGAATTGGCTACGTTTTTCCATGAGTTGCCCTGTTTGCTTGTGTCTTAGCTGACTTATAATTGTATTGGAAGGATAAATCTATTTCCTCTAATATATTAACTTTTATTACTTCTACTGATTGTTTGATTAGATAATCACACACTGGATTCCGGTTTACAGGTGTGTGCATGGTTTAATTTTTGGAGATATCTGTCTATTTGCAATTTAATTATAATTGAATGTGGTGATCCATAATGGATGATGATCGTGCTTTCACTTGGTTTCAACATCACAACCTTGATCCATATATTCTTTTCTATTAAATCCTCTTGATCCCCTCTCTCTAAATTAATTTTTTATGATCCCTCCCCTTTCAATTTTAAAATTTTCTCATGTCTTGTAAGTCACACATAAGGTTTATGTGTCCCATGAAGAATATTTTCTTTTCTAATAATGCTATAAGATTGGCAGAATTTAATTATTCACAACTACACACACAGAGTCATATTTTGTGTTTGAAACTTAATTCAAAACTGATCAATCTGAAGAGAATGTTGTCAATATAAGCTCTCAGTAGAACTTATAATACTTCTAACAGATTAGATTCTATAAACCGAGGCCAAATATTATCAATACTCAACTTTAAGACCAATATATCTATTTTATTTTTTGTCCTCTCAGCCCATAAGTATATCATATGGCATTATGTTTTAATTTACTTGTATATGTAAATTATGCAGATTCTTATCATTTTAAAGGCTTTAATGTGAGAAATATAAACATTGTAAAGATTTGATAATTTTATTACCACCCAAATCCCATTACCACTACAAATCATCCATGTTTAACATTTTTGATTTTTATAATTTTTTTTATCAGTTGTTCCATATTTTTTGAGCATTTTTGAAAATTCATATTTAAAAATGGACAAAGTTTTCAAGATCGAAATTATATCAGCAAGAAGTACAACAGTGGTAAGACTACATATGAAGAAAAAATTAAAGTTGAGATTCTTTTCTTTATTACACTTTTGCAGCCCTAAAGTCACTTTTGTTGTCTGTTTTGATGATTTTTTAAAAAAGCTTTCCTTTCTTTTTAGATGATGTATTGATCAACAGAAATGTAGAAAAAATACTCTAAATTATTTCAGTTTTTATTTTGGCTTGATATCTTCAAAACAACCAGAGTTTCAGGGATTTTCCCAAAACATGTTTTAAGTCGAAAAGAAAATTAAAAATGGTCGCTGAGAAAAAACCGTGAGCCTCAAATTTTTTTTTTTTTTTACTACATTTTTGAACTCTCAAATAAATATGGAATAACTGGTTAAAAAAATTATAAAAATAAAAAATGTCGAGCAACAAAATTAATTATAATGGGTTGATTTCAAATGGATTGATCTGTGTTCAAAATATACTGACAGGAAAAAATTCCATCCACTTGACTTTTTCATGTTTTCATCTAAAAATATTTCTGCTTTGGATTGGTCTATTGTTTTTAATGAATAAATAGGTAATCTTTTTATTTGTTTTCAATTAGGAATGTTAATATAGAGGACAATAACCCTTAATCCTTAATTCAATGAAATGATTCTAGATTCCAATGTTTACTTTCTATGAAATCAAAATGTTTATTCAGTATCATTAGTTCAGTGCCGTTTCTTGCAGCACATTTCTTAGTCTCCGGCTTTTAATTTTTTCAATATTAAGTTTAAAAATGCCTCTTAGTGCTGAGAATGTTGCCCGTGGTGTGGCACTTATTGATGATGGACGTTCCATTAGATATGCAGCTAATGAGATCGGAGTTCCATATGAAACTTTACGAGATCCCGTCAGGCGTTTTCGGGAAACTGGTTCTTACAATAGAAGGCCCGGTTCTGGATGGCCTAGGGTAACAGAACCACGGGATGACCGGTTTTTGACTTTGAGAATTTTACGAAACCGCCACCTTACTCTCAAGTGAAGTTGCTCAAGTGATTCATCAGCTCGAAGAAGTTCGAGGTGTAAAAATTTTTGAACGTACTGCTCGGAGAAGATTAAATGAGTATGGATTAATGGCTTTTCGTCCAGTAAAAGGACCAGAGTTGACCAGAACTCACAGAGTAACACGGCTGGCTTTTGCTCGAGAACATAGCCATTGGACTATGGACGAATGGAGTGCTGTACTTTTTACAGATGAGTCAAGATTCGCTCTTCGATCTCCAGACGGGCGTGAAAGGGTATAGAGAAGAAGAAACGAAAGATATGCAGCCTGTAATTTTTCCCAGAGCCAACCTTTCCAACGTGGTTCCTTAATGGTGTGGGCTGGGATTTCAATGGAGCGCCACACAGAATTGGTTGTTGTTCGTGAAGGGTCTTTGACGGCCATTCGCTATGTAGATGAGATTTTGGAACCTCATGTGTTGCCTATCCTCAACGAAATCGGCGATTGTTCTATTATAATGCACGATAATGAACGCCCAAATGTCACCCGCATAGTGCAGACGTTCCTTCAACAGAACAATATTGGGGTTTTAGCCTGGCCAGCACGTTCTCCAGATTTGAACCCCATTGAGCATTTATGGGATAACCTCGGAAGACGAATAAGAGCGCGTGCAACACTTCCTGATACACTGCAGGACCTTGAAAGGGCTCTTCGGGCGGAATGGGCTATCCTCCAGCAAAGAGACATTTCCCGACTGGTGGAAAGTATGCCGAGGCATCTTCAAGAAGTAGTGAAGGCAAGAGGAGGAAACACGCGCTACTAAACGATGATGTAATTAATTTCTTTTGAAATAATGATGGTTCGTTTTTCAATTTTTTTTTCTCTAATCTTTCTTACTCAATCACATTTTGATTATTAAAGGTAAAAAAGATTATAAAATTTCATAAATACTAAGTATTATCTACAAATACCATGTATTATATACAAATACAACTTTTTTTACAAGTGGTGGGATTTTTTGCCTGTCAGTGTATATTAAGCTGTATATTTGCTAATAATTGTCTGATGTCAATGGTTTTTTTTACTTTTCTATGGAAGTTGTGAAGCTTTGTTATTATCTTTGTTATTATGGGTTTAATCAACCATAAATTGTATATTTTTTTAGTTCTGAGCAAATAAAGTATTCATTTCTTATCAACTTTTTTCCTTATTAAACAAATTGGGTATATGCTTATTTTTTTGCAATGAAGATGGAAATAATATTAAAAATGAGTTCTCAATAGTTGGAATTGATGAAGTATTAAAGAAACTGAGGGGTATTGACAAAAAAAAAAAAAAAAAGCTTTGAAAAACAATATATGAAAATAGGTATTTCTATACTGCTCTGGCTTCATGGAAACTTGTTCACTTTTAATTAGTTCTTTAAATAATCTGAAAACTATACTTCTCGAGGAATATTTCAGTGGCTAATCAAATTGTATTTAGAACTAATCTTAAAATTTATTAATAAGAAATAATACACTTACCTTCCATCTCTCTTATTCTTAGGTGACATGTGATATGTATCACATAGCAGCATTTCAATGAAGGTGAACCTACTTGGTTGCAAATCCTTTATCATGCCTTATCTTAAAAACGGTACATTTTTGGTTTTGGGCTTTTAAATGCAGTATCCAGTATGTTTCAATTTTAAATATTAAAGTTGTTTAAACCTCATCTCTGTTCCTAAAGACCTCTCATTTTCCTCAACCATTCACTAAAACAGAACTCTCTGTAATGAATATTTAAATATATATAAGGGCTGTTATAATATTGAGGGAAGTTCTTTCTCAACACGGCTATTAATAAGGATCTTTTTTGAGGCACTCATCCATTTAGAGGTTCCTTAGAAATCTTATAATTCTTACTATGGACATTAGGTTCTTAACGATAGATCTAGTTTTGTGGCTTTTTTTTTAAAGTTCTGCAGTGTATGAACACATTTATGCAGAATGTGCTCAGACATTTGTTCATTGCCTAGGCTGGTGGACATTTCATTTCTTTGAAATGGTATTTTAGTGGAGGGAGGAAATAAGTTATTGTTTTATCATTTGTAAGATATATCTATATATATTCAGGGATTGTTTTTGTTAAAGTTATATTCAGGGAGTCATCATTTTTAGAAAAGATTTTCCAAGGTGGAGTTTTTAACAGTCAAAATCTGTTCTATTGGACTATAATCACTTGGATAAATTGAAAACAATCGTAGGCGGGGTGGCCAAATGGGCTAATGTGTGTGCACAGCGTATCACGTTCCCCGGCAACCTGATACATAAGATTATAAGATAAAAATAGTCACGAGTTCGCGTCCCAGTGATGGGGGGAGTCTTTTAAATCCCCGCACTCACTCCCTGCCCCAGGAAAACCCCGTATAGCCTTAAAGGCTAGGAAGGGGTAAAAAAAAAAAAAAAAAAAGTATTGAAAACAATCTTTAACAAATTCATCAAGTTTGTTTGTAGTGTTATACACATGAATTATAACAAATTCAAGTTTGTTTGTAGTGTTATACACATGAATTATAAGGTTTTTGTAGGGATATAAAAAAAAAAATCCAGTAATGTTTGTTTGTCTTATTTATAAAATCTTGCCATAAACCCTCAGCTAAGATTATTTTTTAAGAATTAGATTCAGCTGATTTCATTTCTAATGTTAATTATGAGGGTAATACTATTAATGTTTCAAAACTCAAAGTATGCTTCTGAAAAAGTGGGAATTATCATGTTACCCCTCTGAACCAGCTATTTAAATTAAAGTGTGATTGTTCTATAGTCTTATAAGTTTTTCTTAAATTTATAGTGTAATTAAAATTCTTTTAATATCTAAATCAAGGGCATTATTTAAATGGTGATAGTTTTTTTCCCTTTAGGTTTTCGATAACACACCCGCAGCTCGTGAAGGAACTTTACAGAGTGGAGATGAACTTGTCGGTGTTAATGGGCAGTCAGTCAAAGGAAAAACAAAAGTCGAAGTGGCCAAGATGATTCAGGGATGTAAAGTAAGTTAGCTAAAATAATATTTAGTGAACTCTACTGTATAGTATTTTTCAATATCTTTCTCATAAAAAAGAAATTAGATTTTAAAAGTTGGAATAGAATTAAAACATATTACTGGTACAATATGTTTTTTTTATATTAAACATATAGATAACAATAATGAGATCTAAGATGCCCAAATTACATGTAGAACCAGATGGTGAAGCACAGTTAATTTTACACAACTTAAATCACGTTTCCATGATTGCAGAATTTAGTCGAGTACTTGAAAAAAATAGAAATAAATTACTTAGCTCTATAAAATTAAATCTCTTCTCATATTATATTAAGAATATATTTAATTTTATAGGATGAAGTGAGCATAAAGTATAACAAATTACATGCAGAACCAGCCCAAGGTAAATCTTTAGACATAGTTCTTAAGAAAGTGAAACATCGCCTAGTGGAAAATATGAGTACATCAACAGCTGATGCTCTGGGATTATCCCGAGCGATCCTTTGTAATGATAGCCTTGTAAAAAAACTGCAGGAACTTGAAGCTACTGAAGCAATGTATACTGGACTTGTAGACCACTCAAAAAGGGTACTCAAGGCATTTTATGGTCTTCTTCAAGTTTACAAAGGTTAGCGTCCTACAAAATTGGAAATTAATCGTTTGTATTTTATTTAAAAAATAAAGTTATGTCCTAATTACCAATAAACTAAAGTTATTGTATTAAGTCATATTTTGTTTTTAAAAAAAGAAGATATTTCATGAAATAACATGTTATTCATTAATATTTATTTCCTGGTTCATATCAATCTAAATTTTTACTTAAAATTTTGAATTTATATTTACTTTTTTAAGGTATTTGTTCACTATTGCATTTGTACCTTGCAGCTTTCGGGGATGTGTTTGCTGGAATTGGAGTAAGGGAACCACAACCTAGAGCGAGTGAGGCATTTAGATCTTTTGGTGATTATCATAGACTAATGGAAAAAAACGGCATTCAGGCTCTTAGAACAGTAAAACCTGTGAGTTTTTATAAACCTATTAATATAAAAATATTACTGCAAAATATATTCACTTTCATATAGGTATATTTTAATTATGATGTAGAGATGGTTGACAGTGATATAATGAGAAGGAGTTGATCGAGGCGCAGTTAAATTTGACTGCACCTTCCGATCAACTCTTCGTATATTTTAATTGTTAGAAAATGTATTTATCTTAAGTTTCTTTATTAATACTTCCTTTAACAAACTTATTACATCTTGCATTACTTATAAATTGTAAATTTATATAGATTTTATCTGATCTTGGAACATATTTGAACAAAGCTATACCAGATACTAAGCTTACCATAAGAAAGTACGCTGATGCGAAATTTGAGTACCTCTCTTATTGTTTAAAAGTGAAAGAAATGGACGATGAAGAGTATTCTTATGCAGCACTGCAAGAGCCTCTATACAGAGTTGAAACAGGAAACTATGAATACAGGTTAACCAAATTATAAAATAAACATTATTATAAAATCGTAAATCTAATCCTAATGATATATAATGTGTTTTATATTTTCTTTAAAGGTTGATATTGAGATGTAGGCAAGAAGCCCGAGCTCGATTCGCTAGGCTTCGTTCTGACGTTCTCGTGAAACTTGAACTTCTAGATAACAAACATGTCCAAGATATAGTACAGCAACTTCACAGGTTTGCTTATTTTCGTTACATCTAACAGTTTAAAATTAACTCAGAAAAATATAGGGAATATAAATCCAAAATGGTAATTTTGATTGGTATATAAATGTTGAATGGGGATGTGGTTGGGGTTATATCTTTTACTGTTTTATTTTTAAATATAAAACTGTCATTATTAATTATAATGAAAATTTTCATTTTATTGCATCATTTATTTTATTATTTATATTTTTGCATTTGATGAAGGTAATATTATTCTTTTATTAATGGACTTTAAACAATGTATTAATTATGTTCACCTGGATTATATGGATCTTAGGTTACTGAATAAGTCATATTTTTTTACATAGCCTGAATTATTTTATTTCTGATATATTTTCAGATTCGTTAAAGCATTTGCTTTGTTCTATGAAGAAGGAAATAAGTTGATCAGTACAAATTCTTTATTTCCCATTGAAATGGACTTATCTCGATCTGCATTTCAGTACAATAGTACTTCTTTGCCTCAGGTAAATATTGTTTATTTTTTTCATTAATTCAAGTTTTATTACTATACATTTTCCTGTTCACTAATAATTTTATTTTACTTTTTTATATTTTTTCTCTTTTTATGTTTAATAATGAGAAATAGTTAATTATTTAAAATAAACCAAATTAAAGGTACTTTAAAGGAAGACATGTTGAACATTTAAGCATTTAAGCTTATGTTTTTATCCCCATTGATGTCACTTTACTGGGCTTAAATGTTCAACATGTCTTCCTTTAAAGTACCTTTAATTTGGTTTATTTTAAATAAATAACTAGCTCTCATTATTAAGAGTTACCAAAAAATGCTAAATATAACTGTTGAAAGAATGTGATAATTGAAAAATGGAGAAAAAAGTGAAAATGTTTATTTAGGTTGAAAATGAATTTCTGGAAATATTAGTAAGAAGGTATACGTATAATATATTGTTGGAAAGTGGCGAATTTCAGAAAGCACAACATCTAATTTAGAAAGTAATGGACAGTGACAAAAAATTATAAATAATAATTTGTAAAGTTAATATTACTAGTGTTCGCCCAGTGGTCGAAATTCGACCATAGCCATTAAAAATTTGAGGAAACATATAATTAAATACAAAATAAATTAAATAAATAAAGAGTAAATCACGATTCAAAAATCCTCATTTATTAATACAAACAAAATTTCAATTTCAATTAAAAATCTAGCTTAAGCTACTTAAAATTATTTATAAGTAATACCAAATAGACTCATTCAAAAATATTTAATTTCCATTTTAATTTATGTGTATTATTATCACAATTAATTAATGTTATGATTAAGCAATTAAAAAATAAATTTAAATTAGCAATTTCAATTCACTTTAAATCCATTTTTATTCAGAACTTCTCTGTAAACAATGCTCTTTTTAAATGTTCTGTTATTATTTAGTTCATAGCCATGCCCATTGCCAATGAAAATATAAATTTCAATATTTTAAATGAACATGCTTTACTTGCTACCACATATAATTGTCCATGCGAAATTACTGGACGTCGCTATAATACACACATTTTTCCAAAACTTTTTCTCTGCTATTTGATAATGGTAATAGAAAATGAACCTATTAATAGAAACGTTGTTCTTTGAAAGTCGAATGTAAGTATTGTGTCAGAAAATGTTAAATTAATACTTGGCATTAAAATTCTTTAATTTAAAGTAGCCCCCGTTAATACTTCACTCTCATCCATGCTCCATTAACTAATGCTTGTGCAGTATTTAAGTTAACAATGAGTATGACTATAGAATTTATTTTTAAATTTAATTTATGAGGTATCATTCCACTAAAATTAAATGATATCTCTTCAAATAATAGTCCCAATTATCTCAGTAAATGAAAAGTTTTCGATTTATCAAAAACCAAAATAAAGAAAATCGAATTTGTAAAAGAAAAAGTACTAAATGTTTAAAATGATATATCTCTGCAACAAATAGTCCGATTTCGATGATTTTTTTTTTTTTTGTATGGAATTCAGAGAGCTTTCAAATAAATATTGGTATTATCAATAACAAATTTGTACTTTTTGAGTTATTCGCAAATAAATTACTGAAATCATCATAAAAATGTATGCAGCTTGTTTTCAGGAAAGTATGTTATATACATAAATTATAAATGTTTCAAGGGGAAGACTTTAGCCAAGTTTCATTAAAATCGTTAAAGCTGTATTGGCGCTGCAGTCTAAAGCGAATGAGGTTTTTCGGCCGCCATTTCAAAAGGAAACGCCTGATGATAATGAAACGTATAAAAAAAAAACTTATAAATATTATTGCGACGTGTCAAAATTTGAAAGAAATCGGTGAAGAACTTTCAAAGATTGGCCGTTTTGAACAAACTACCATTTATATTTTTATTTACATACTATTTAATATTTTTATTTATTGATAACACTAAAGCTCGTCAATATCTATTAAACTAAAAAAGAATGAAGAAAATCGGTTGAATAATAGAGGAGAGTAAAAGGGGCTGAACCGATTTGTGTTTGCCTGTTTATATAATGATTTAATGGAAATCACATGTTTTCAAGGAAATTTACTAACGAAATGTAAACTTTTTTTAAGTTTGAAAAAAAGTATTTAAAATCCACCTAATCAAGACAATGGCATTGTTTAAAAAACTATTCCATGGATGTTATAAAGCATATGTTTATAATCTTAAATACATTTACTGTAGTTTAATAATTCTAGATCTGATATTATATTCAAATAATTAGGTATTAACGTCCGTTTATTTTGAAAAATCATCATGTGACCTTTTAGAAAATTAAATTAGTGAATAATTTGATGAATTTTCCCTTTGTGAAATCCAAACATTATCCACTTAAAATTAGTGTGACAGTTTTTTACCTATCTATGGCAGGCAATAAAAATCTGGTAATTTCATATTTTTTAGTAAACTTAACAATGGAAAATAACAGTTTAAAAACTAATAGGTGTACAATCCATTATCATTTAAAGGTTGAATTTAGAGATATACTTTCAAATATCTCTGGGCATTAAGTATGCCTAGTATTTAGTATATAGTATTTAAATTAGTACTTGCAACCTTTAAATTAATACTGAGGTTTGATATAATTAATAGGATTTTTGTTATTTTAGCAGATTAGATTTATTAGCTGTAATCTTTAAGATATAGCTACTTTAAAAGTGCACTCCAAAAATGTTATAATTGCTCAACAAATAATTTCTATTCAAAGTAGAGAGGTAAGTGAAAGTTGTGTGTTGCGCACACCAAGTATTTCCACTTTTTGTGTGAAATAATTTTTAATATACTGTAAGTCTCTCTTAATTTTTTTTACTTCCAAAAGAAAGAGACATGAGTTGTGGTTCCTATGAGAATTAAAAAAAAAATGGGATAATAGGATTAAATAAAATTGATTATATATTCTTTAATATGTTTTATAACAGACGCAATACTTTCTTTTTTAATTTTATTGCCACTATTTTTGCAATCTCGAATGCGGCTGCATCATAAAAAAGTTGATTACTACCCTGCCTTATAACATTTTATATTTACTCCAAACCCAATAATATTTTTTATTGATACTTAAAAATGTTATAATGAATTATGTTCAACAATAAGAGCATGATACATATATAATGTGCACATGCCCACCAGTCTTAGTCTTCTTCTTCTGCATTCTTCCTTATATGACTAGGTCAGGAACTAAAATGAAGAATTCGGTAGTCCTCTTCAGGTCTTCCAGGCTTCCATATAGTTTCCTTTCCAATTCAGTCGTAGAGGGCCAGATCACCTTCCTTTTTTGGAAGTAGGTCATGCATGTTTGTAGGATATGTTCCACATTCTATACACCCTCACCGCACTCGCAGAGGGGACTAGAGCCAATTTTGAACTTAGGTGAACTTAGAGCCTGTTGTGTCCAGTTCGTAAGCGAAAGATCAACACCTGATCTCGTCGAGTTAGTCCATAGATTGCATCTCTGTGGTCGTAAAGTGGATGATTTCTGAGCCAATGTGGATTAATAATCGCTTTGTTGACTGTTTTAACCTCATCTAGGCAGATCTTACAATCAAATTGTGGACTCAAGGCCCCTTCCTTTGCCAGCTGGTCTGCCCTTTCGTTTCCATAGATGCCAGTGTCCAGGGATCCATTACACAACAACTTTCTTGTGAAGGGACAGTCTTAGTCTTCCATTTTTTCACTAAGGGTGCAAGAATCAAATTTTAGAAACTTCCAATCCTATGTTATATGCACAAGAGTTTGAAAATTTGATGAATTTTATAAAATAATTTTTGACTTTTAAAGGAGAAATTATAAAACGAAAAAAAGTTTATTAATAGCGATACCCATAGAAAGATAATACTTGGTCTGTAGTGACAGGAAGATGTGATGTTCAAAAATGTATTAGCTTAAATTCTTTCTTCTGTAAAACGTCTGCCATTGCTTTCATTGTTTTATTTTTTATCAGAATATTCAGTCTAAAAGTATAAAGTGTGGTTTTAATCTTTAGTATACTTTAAAAATAATACCTTTATTCCCTGAAAGATGCTTAAAGTTCCAAAACTAGTTTTTGTATCATTTTGGTACCTATGATAATCCCTTTGTTGGTTTAATATCTATTTGTTTGAAAATTCTAGTATGATGATGACGACGAGCTGATTCAAGAAGTAGAAGAAGCTGAGGAAATGAAAGCTGACCCAGAGCCATTGATTGATGGCTTACACGAGAGCGATTCAATTGTGGAGTCACCCAAAAATGAAGGTTACCTCAATCAGTTAATATCAGATTTGGACATCAATAAAGAACCCAATGTTGGGACATTAATTGGTCTGGATTGATTCTCTCTGAATGTTTTCCCGCCTGTTTTAGACTGTAATATAGCTTTATATGTTAAACATTTTTATTCCTAAATATTTATTAATGTCATTTTAAGTCATGTGAAATGAAACATATATTTATAGATATTATTTTTAAATTATAATTTTACTAACATCATTATTTGTAAATAAGTAATAATTTACCATCCAATTTTTATATTTATAATGAATTAATAAAGGACTATTGAATATTTGTTGTCATGGAATTTGATTAAAGCTGTCTATGAGGTTCTAAAATTGTAATCTCCTTGAATCAACCATTAATTTTTATTTATCTTATTTTTTTTTATGCATTTTTTTTAATATATTTAGATTACTGAGTAGACTAGGGTATATTTAAATTTGAGCATAACTAAATAGGGTTACTGCATTAAGGATGACAATCTTTGGAGTAAGGGCCCATCCTGTGAGTAGTTTGACCTCGCTGACCACTTTTAAAAAATAAAAATTAAAGACAGTATAAGGTTATTTTTTAAAAAGTACAGTACAGTATTAGTTATTTTTATACCTTATTGTTATTTTTAAAATTATAACAAGCTAGCAAGAGATTTAAAATTTTTTGACCATTGCTGGAAGTGAAAATTTCCCTATTTACATGCTTCTATCAACTTTCCTCTTTATATTTCTCAGAGGACAATAAAAATAAAATAAGGTGAATAGAATATACTGCTCTGCCTGGCACTATTAGAGAAGAGAGAGAGGTTTTACCAGCCTGTACTTCACATTACATTTAAAATTAACATCTTATAAATTATACCACTAATTTTTTATTACTTTTATAAACCAAAACGAACGAAATGCCAAAAATTGCTTATGAACAATTTAAGTTCCGGCCGTACAATGGATTCAACTTAGATTGTAACTATTACGGAAAAAGTATTTTGAAAATTTTTGGATTCCTCATGATTTACAACTTACTTCTATTTCTTCTAAAATTTTATTCAAAGCAGTTTGGTAATTGAGGAGAACAAGAGTTCTATGCAAATGAAAAAAACAAACTCTGTGTTTAGGGAAGATATATCTTCCAATAAAAAAAATCCAATTCGAAGTTAAAGAAAACTCATTGAATACTACTGCTATTCCTGAGCTATCTCCAGAAATCAGGAAGAGGAATGAGCCTATAGGGCAAGAGTCCAGGCAGGAATGAATATTCATGGAAGAAAAAGGGACAGCAGGCTATGTGTGGTTGTTTTTGTTTTATTATTTCTTTTTTATTCAAACACCATAAAATGAAACTCTAACCACTTCCAAGCAGGGAGAGTGAGAAGAAGAATCCAAAGCATAAGTGATACCTGAACAATTTGACCTCATCAGCACTTCTTTCAAAATGCTTTCATACATTCAACGCATCATATTTAATAATAGGAATAACTATTGTATTCTTTCATTTAATTTTAAAAAACAAAATTGATTAACCAACTAGCAACATTGTAACTCTAATTGTGACTTACATTCAACAACAGTGTATGTTTTTCTAATTACAGCAAACAATTTTTACTTACAGACCACTAGCACTTACCTACACTGCCTCCACTTAATATTAATTTTCTATGGTAATGTTTCCAGTCGAGAAATGCTATACAAAAACATTCAGAACTCTGAACTGTTTAAATCGAAATATTATTTAAAAAAATGTTTAAAGCTGTGTACATATATCAATCTGATTGTTTAATTTTTTCTGTTTTTCAAAAAAAGAACATATATATCAATGAAATTAGATATATTTAATATTTACAATTCACTATCTTTGTTTGACAAGATTGTAACTGAAAATTTTTTATTAAAACAAGATTATTTTTGGTTCTTTAACTCTACTTTAAGATTAAATGCAATTCTTTATTTTAAAAAGTTATAACTTCACTTCCATCTTTGTCATATTCAATTTTACTCCATTTTGTCTGTGACAATGTTTTAACTGCATTTCAACATTTTTAAAAAAATTTTTTTACACATCTTCAAAAGTTAAATTATAACCTTGTAAACAAATTATAACAGAATTAATCAATTTTATTAATAACAAAAAAGTGTTAGCATTTTATAATTTTAAACTCATTTTTCTTCAAATTAAAGTTAGATCTGTTAGAGCCTTGTCAAAACAAGATAGTGAAACTATGTTTTGTACTATTGACATATAAATGTCTCTGATAGAAAATTGTAATTTTTCTTTTCAAGATGAATATATCTCTGAATATGAATATATGGTTTGACTGTATTAGTTTCCAAAATTTAACTTTTCTGTCATGTCTAGCCAATGATACATTACTATTATTGAGTAATCTATTAATAAACACTTTTAAAGATATGTTAAGCAACAATTATAAGGCAAATAATTATCAGTTTTTTTTTGTCTTTGCATGCTTCAATGTGAGACAGAACAAAAACTAAGAAAGAATGTATGACAATTTTTTTTTATTAAAATAGATCATTTTATATAAAAATTAACATAATAAAACGAAAAGATTTAAAATATGAATGCTATTTGCATACAAGTATCACACTCCATTTATACAACTATATGCAATACTTTATAAGTTATTTACAAAAATGGTAATACAACAATTATATAATAACCTATTTACAAAAACAGGAAGAAAAAAACTAAATTATATACAGATACAATTAAAGATCAGTTTTAGATAATATAATAAATCATATGGGCACTTAAAAATCTTGGTTATACATATAACTTCATTGTTCATTAGCATTTAATGTTCTACCAATATTAAATGTAATGGGTCAGTCTGGTTACATTTTACCATGATTCACAAAACCAATTCATAACAGGCAACTATTAAGAAGAATCATTAACGCTAATATCAGATCAAGGTAACATGATAAATGAAAAACTAATAAATAAAATTATCTTGCATTTCTGCTTCTAAAAACTTTTTAAAAAAATCAATATAAAAATACTAGAAACAAAATAAAACTAAAATAAACCGAATAGATATTTTGGATTTATATTACAAAGTTATAAAAATACTCGGTATGAAAATACTTCTTTAAAGCCAACATTTTGGGCACTTGCAGGGTCCATGATCTAATAATACATATCATTAGGGAACACTGTTTGAGATCAAAAGCCAAAAGTTAAGTAACATGTTTTAATTACAGCTTATTGATTAGTCAGAAAATTCAAATAAAAGTTTTTAGAAAAAAAAAAGAAGCAAAGGACGAATTAATTTACATAATAGTAATAAAACTATATTGATAAATAAAACAATATCACCTCAATATTTCGATAATATCAATAGAAAACACATATTTTACTAATTGCCATGAAATTATTTCATTTTATCACAACATAAAAAAAGGTACATGCATGATGAATAACACATAGGAAGCCAAATGTAATATATAAAAATTAAAAATATTTATCTTCATTCACATGCAGAACATTTTAGAAACATTATTTTTTTTAAACATAACTTTTAAAAAATTACATTGTATAATATTAAATATAATAAGATTATGGTTATTACTAAATTTAACATGCTGTACCTATCTTTTGGAAGGCGAATATCAAAAATATCTTCAACTGTTAAAATTAAAAAAGAAGCATATTTATTAACTTAGATTATACACTGTTTGAAACAAAATGAAAAAAAGTATAATCATATCACTGCTCTTCTGAACTAGAATTGACCAGATACAATTAAAATATTTATATTATTTCGTGATATAAGACAAAAAGAGTACATGAGCAATAGAATACCAAAAGGGGTATTCTTAAAACAGAATACACCCGAATCATACATTTTAATTGTAATAATATTGAAACAACTTTCATGATCAATTGTGTTTTAAGAAATTACATGAAAGGCGATAAATATGATACACTAAACACCTCGAAGTTCTAATGCTCTTCGTCTGATATTTGCCATATTCTCTGACATAGCCGTGAGTAGAGCTGACTCAACAGCAGATTGTGGAAGCCAACCACGAATATTTGTATTAAGAAGCCATCGAACTTCAGTCTCAAAGGCAGCAACTTGTTTCAAAGCCCAACAGCCAGACCCATTTTCAGCCCTAAAATATCCAACAACTTATACAAAGTACTACTAGTATCCCTGATAACTTACTAACTAGCATGATCAATATGGTAAGGAACTAATCTAAAAACTTGTTATAGCAAGTTACATAATCATATTAAGTATGTTGATATATGAGTGTATGTTATTATAGAATTATAAAATAAAATATTCCCGAAACTCTGCATGTGAGAATATTCAAAACAATCCAACAAAGGTAATGAGAATTTCATAGCTATTAGAAACATGTTTCCCGTGTTGGATTGCTAATCCCATATCGGGCGCTTCGAACTCGGGCGACATGAAAAACACTTGTCTCTAGGAACATGGAACGTGAGAAGCCTCCAGATCGGAGCAAGCAGGAATCTTGAGGAAGAACTTTTAAGGTATAAAATAGATGTAGCAGTACTCCAGAAAATCTGCTGAAAGGATAACAAGCTGGTAAACCTAAAGGACTACTTTTTTATTAACAGTGGACATAATCAGAACCAAGTTGAGACAGGGTTTATGATAAATAATAAACTAAAACACTTCCTACACTCCCTGCTGAAATATGAACCCGTCGACCCACATATCTGTGCAATAAGACTAAGGGTACTGTTCTTCAATATTTCTATGGTCAGTATGCATGCCCCTACTGAAGATGGGGACGATGAAACGAAGGACGCATGTTATGACTCTCTAGAAAGAACCTACGATGCTTTACCTGCCTATGATGTGAAACTTGAAGACTTCAGACCCACATAGGGCTAAATAGCAAACACGAGGAATCTAATAACAACGGGTTCAGGTTTGTGGATTTTGCAATGGAAAGAAGCATGGTAGTAAGCAGCATACACTTCCAGCACAGAGATATAAAGAAACATGGATATCACCAGATGGTAGGAGAGAAATCAAATATATCACGTCTTGATTCAGCCGAGACATGCCATAGATATTCAAGATTTCCAAAGTTATAGAGGAGCAGTGTGTGGCTCAAACCACCATCTAGTCAAAATAAAATATAAGCAAAAAATTGTGTTGAAGGCACGAGGAAGAGCAGAACAGCCTCTGCCTCGCTTTGATGTGGAAGGGCTGAAGGATGAAAGTACAAGACAAATATTTGTCACGAGAGTGTCTGAGCTACTCGGAAGAAATGGGGGAATAAATGATGTCTCCTCAAGGTGGACACATCTGAAAGAAGCCTTAAATAGAGCAGCAATGGAGGAACTAGGTGAAAAACCTAGACCAGCAAGAAACAATTGGCTTAATGACGAATGCAGGACAATACTCGAAGCAAGAAATGAGACAAGGTGTAGGATGATTCAGCATCACTAAAAGTACAACTAAGGAGTATAGCGACAAGAGAAAGGAACCAAAGAAGATCTGCAGACAGAAGAAAAGAATCTGGGAAAGAAAGGAGCCAGACCAGGAGGAAATTGTGAGCAATCTAAAGATGCATAAAGCTCCTGGGATAGATGCGATTGAAGCGGAGCTGCTGAAATACGGTGGGGACGAAGTATGTGACCAGCTCATATATGATGTCTGCTCAGAAGAAGAAATCCCTGACGATTGGAAAGTAGCGGTTATCCGTCTCATATATAAGAAAGTCATCAAGCTCTGCTGCTCTAGCTACAGAGGGATTTCTCTGTTGAATGTGGCCTACAAGGTATTGTCTACTGCCATCAACCAGAGACTTACCACTCACATGGAAAGAGAAGTCGGGGAGTACCAAATCGGCTTGAGGCAAGGAAGGTCCACAATAGACCAAATATTCACAGTGCGCCAGATGCTGTTGAAGTCTTTGGAACACGAGATTGACCTACATCATCTTTTCATTGGCTTCAAACAGGCCTATGATTCAGTGGATCAATCAACACAGCTCAGAGATCTTGTATCCCTGGGTGTTTAAAGGAAACTGATTATGCTGGTATAATCAGATAAAGAAATAATAAGGTAAAGATTAAATCTTTGGCATAAAATATTCATGGTTAAGTAGAAATAGTTTAGTTTGGTTAATATTAGTTTGATTACGTATCTTGATTAAAGTTGTTAGTTTAAATGGTAATTATAAAGAATAAATGTATTTCATTTTTATTATCAAACATATGTTCAAATCATTGCGTGAAAAGGTGAGGTTTCCTTCTTGTTGTAACTTTCTATTTCCTAATATCTTCATAAAGACAAAAATATTACAGAAGAATCCATAAAATTATTAAAAAAAAAGGAAAAAAAAAAAAGATTTTAATTAAAATAAATCAAATATAAATTATCCCTATTCATTTTTGAGCAGTAGGTATAGATGTGAAATAATTATATATATAAATATTATGTTCTTAGGATAGTATAATGTAGAAAACAAATAAATTATTTTTAAATAAAAAAATTTAAATAGTACACCCTCGATATAGATAAAATATCATAATACAAAAAATATTAAGAAAACAAAGAAGTACCTAATAACATTTGGTCGTGATTGCAAACTAGGATGTTTGACAGAGCAAGTTGCAATAATATGATAGCCATTTTTCTGAACCAAATTACGAAGTAAGATAAATTCCCTGCTGGAGACTAGGCCTTTTGCAGCTTCAGCTGACAACTGATAAATTACGTCAACATTTTCATCGTACTTCTGTAAAAATAAAAACGAAATGTATATTTATGATGATAATAATTACATAAATATATGCTATTTACATACAAAAACTGACCTGAAGGAATTTTGACTCCTTCACCGTAGGATTCCATAAAGGAACCTCATTTACTTGGTGATATAAGATGTCTATAAGGAGGCTGATGGGAGCTTCAACTACACCCTGGTGGAAAATGAAATTTATATCATTCATAATTATTTAAAAATAGCTCTAGTTATATTTTATTAATTTGAAAGACAATATAACTTATAAATACAAATGAAAAAATCTACAAATGATAGAGATAATAGAAAGATATTATGTTGTTGATATAATTACAATTATACAAATTATTGCTGTAATTTATAACTTTAAACTTTAAAAGTTATAGTTTCTTTCCTAATCAGACATGTTTTTGATGAGTTGGGTTTCCTTAAGGGTTTTCCTTTAGTTAATGTCTCAGAACACAAAACCACATTCATAATAAATGATAAAATTGATTGTAATGTAGATTGGGATGAGATAAAAATAATCGCAAATAAATAGCAAGGAATGATTTTGAACAGGGTATAGAATAAGATAGATCTAACACCAGTTATTTAACAAATCAATTATTACAAAATTTACTGAAAACAAACAGAAAATTATCTAATATTTTTTTTTCTGAGTCTGTTATTTTTCTTTTGAGTATAGAAAAATAATAACATAACAATCAACTTACAATGAGACGAAAAATTTTTTCTCCTTTTGCTAATTTCTGAATGTAAATAACGTCTCCTGATGGTGATGTAGTTTCAACAGTCCATTTATCATTATTCAATATACTCCAGGCTTCTTCAAATATTTCATTGCTTCTAATTTTTACATATGCAGCAAAATCAGCCTGTAATGAGATTTAAAAAAAAAATAGAAATCAAAACAAAGCTGAAAATTCACATATGAGTAATAAGAGAGTCCAATTGGAATCTGATGCCTTAACTAGTTTTAGAAAATTAAGCTGAACCACAGAAATATATACTTAAGTAAATCAAATAGTAATTACATGATGAATAAGGTGTAAAATAAAGTTCACCTACTTCATTCACCCATTCACATGGTTTGACTGAAGTTTTTCTTCTAAACATTTCAGGTAGAATCAAAAGGTTCAAGAGACCAATAGAGACTGGGTCTCGGTATTAAAAAGTATGTATGAGCTTTGAATAAATAAATAAATCATAGGACGAAATTTCATATCTAAGTGTATACATTTACAGAAGAAATGTATAATGTATAAATGCATGCATAAAATTGTTTCTAAAGGAGAAAAACCATCTCGAGTACACTGCAGGAAGTTCACAACTTTATAGGACTTATTTTCTACATTTTTACTTGTTTCAGAAAATGAACAGTAATAAGATTCCGTCATAAATTAGGACAATAGTTAACACCAAATTCTTGAAGGCAAGATCAAAGGTTTTGAAAAAGGAAATAAATCGCTTACGTTTAAGAAACATATTTAAATATTCTTTATATATTTGAATTTAACACAGCAAAAAAATATTGTTTTAATTTTGAGCCATAAAGAAGTAAAGTAAAATTTCTAACCTCAGCATTGAGTACATTAATGTTTTACCCAGTTTAACGAGGAGTCTAATGCCATCGATTATTTCAGCAACGAGTTTAGAAACTTTCTCTAGATTATCAAGATTCTAATGTCTTCATAAGAGTGAAGAGGTAACATGAAGGTTAGGAGCTACTGATAATACATATACAAATTAACATATGTTGGTAATATAAAGAATATAAAATACCTGTTCTTTCTTTTTATCTGGCCTGTCTGATTCATCATCAGATCCTATAAATTAAATTATAGAAAGTGAATTAGAAAAATTTAATCCAATAACAAATGACTACATTTAAGTACCAATATATATTTGTATAACAATTTACTATAATATATTCTAATGTTAAATATAAAGCAATCAAGGAAGAGAGACCTACATTATAAGATATTGAGAAGAATTATAATTATTATCAATTATACATTTAGTAATTGACAAAGTGAGGTAACTGAGTAAAACTACCTCTGAAAAGAATACTCAAGAAGCTATACAATCGGAATAGATTATATGAAGAATGAAACAGACTTTAATATCACTAATAATTATTTTGTTTGAATAACCATGTGACATCCCTAATGTTTTATTTCACATTAAAAATATGATATTTAATAAAACAGAAATTTTAATTATTAAAAAGTGAGATCTATGACATCCACCCATGTCCAGCTAGGAGTTTGCATTTATGGAACGGTTTAGTTAAAAACATAATAATTACCTGCTGGAGATTCAACTGGTGAGTAAAATGTTCCTGCGACAGAATCTGACATCACATCGAATTGAGCATGATTGTGCAGAAAACTTCTGATAAGTGGAGTCCTTTCATCAGGAGTGGTTGGATCTAAAATGATAACAATAATACAAATTCATAAAAATATTCTAATTCTTAACTGATTTTAGCCCTCTAACAAAGAAATGTTTTTTACCAAAGATAGAAAGGTCTATATAATATTGAAGAAATAGAAAGAGCAAAAACATTGAAGTTTCAAATTATCAAAATTCAAATGTAATAATCTATTCATATATATATTTAGTACTCCCAATACAGTTGGTTTAGGCAATGGTTATAAATGAAATAACATACAAAGAAGAAGATTTATTTTGTTGTGTACCTGTTTTGGTGCCTCCTATGCCAAATCAACTAGTACTATTTGATCTACGATCAATAATACCTCTACTATTTTGAAAGTTACAAATAAGAATAGCCTCAAAAATAATTATCAACAGTGAAATTTAAATGAATTAAGTACATATATATATATAAAAATACTTAGGAATAGTGTGTTAGCACTTTTAAGATAACCAAGGAGACATAGTACATCAATTAACAGAGTGGTAAGGTGTTCAGGAAAAACCATCCAATTGGTCACTCAGCTTCATGAGCCTGTGTAGGAAAATAATTTACAGGGTACTGTTTTAATAATATGTAATCATTTGTTACTGAATAAACAATCAATTTTCCTGAAATTGATTGTAATAAATTATGAAAACTTTTCGTTTTATAAAATAAACAGTTTTTATGGATATAAAAATTGAAATGTTAGCAAAAATCAACATATGAATTACTGCCCAAGATTGAAAGAAAGGTACAACAAATCAAAGTGTTAAAAAAAATCCAACATGATAAATATAACAAAACTTGATCAGAATTTGCATGGCTGACTATTATACACCAACAGCCATGGTAGAAATTCATTGGTCTCTACCATATTGATGATTTTTTCATTTTGTTTAGAAAGAAAAGCTAAGGAGAAGAAGAAAAGCTTGATAGGCACTAAATCCGAATTCCGTATCATTTCTGGAAATAACAAACACAAAATACTTGTTGATAGACAAATGAATCTTTGATTTTTTAATTTAATGTAGATTATTATAAAAGGATAGTTAATTAATGAAAAAAAATAACAACAAATTTAGAAAACCAACATTAGCTTGAATTCTCAAACATAAATTTGAGTTAAGAAACACTATTTTTAGCAGATGATTTACATTACAATTTATAAATATTCATTGTATTACCTAACATAAAATATTTGAAAACCATCCAAAAAGCCAATATAATAAAATACTATAACCATAACATGAGAAGTCTTCAGAGGAAAGTGAAGAAGAAAATTAGTAGAGGTAGCAGTTAATGAAGAATGGAGAACACAATTGCTGAGCAAGCAATTATTATGACAGAGTAGCAAAATTTTGAAGAACAATTATACACATTTGACATATTCCATAAGAATTATATCAGCACATATTTAAAAAAAAAAAATGCTGGTGGCAAATTTTCAATACAGTAATGACATGAAGAAAAGTAACTACATATATTAAATATTAAGGCAAAAATAAAAGATTATATTTTTTCAATTAGGAATTTCCACTAATAGTGGGTTTCCTTAACCTAAAGATTATTTAATTAATTAAAAAAAATTAAAAGGTTTTTTAAATTAAAATACAAAGCTCAAGGGATAAAATCATTTCATGTATCCCTTAGCATACTAAAACTTTATCACTATTTTTGGCGGTTTTATACCAGATATGAATTGATACGCTGTTAGTAGTCTTAACATGTTACATGACATTTCTGGTATTCATTTGTTATACATACAAAATAAAATTGTTAACAAAAAAATTCATACTTGTCGTAAGAAATTGTTGAGCTGATCGTTCTTGAGGTATGACTTTGATGTCCAAAAGCCACCCCTCAGCCCACGACAGGATGAATGAAGAAAGTATCAGGAGAACAGATAACACCTGCTGACTTTGAGTCCACTACCACAATAATTAAAAAAATTACAGTAAGGAAATATATATATAATATTCAATAAAGGTTTGTGTGTGTGTTTATAGGTGTATATATATATATATATATATATATATATATATATATATATATATATATATATATATATATATATGAAATATTAAATATAGGTTTGTGTGTGTGTTTGTAGGTATATATAAAACTAACTTAATCAGTAACATGATGTCCTTAATTAATTTTCCAATGTTCAATGATTGCCTCTAAGGGGCTCCGAGAAATTAATGTAAACTGACCCAGGTGGTAATCAAACCTACAATGTTCAGAACTGGACAATCTTGGGGCTCATTCCTAGGTGATTGGCTATCATGCCTCTCATAATAAATATGCAGTCATACTGAAAAACAGTTTCAGACTGAAGTAAAACACACACAGTAAGGAAAATAGATGGGAAGGAAATGTGGGTAGGGTGGCCGAATGGGCTAACGAGTGTGCACAGCACCGCCGTTGCCCAGCAACCTGACATATGAGACGATGAAAAATAGTTCCGAGTTCACATCCCGGTGACGGGGGAATCGTTTAAATCCCCGCCCACACTCCCTGGCCTAGGAGAACCCCGTATGGCCTTAAAGGCGAGGAAGGGGAGGACCATAAAAAAAGATGGGAAGGAAATAGAAATATTTTGGATTTATGTTCTAACTCTACCTTTCTTTTTTAGAACTGTGTTATAAATATATGTAAAAAGAGATGGATCATTGGATATCCAGATTAATGAGACTCTAATGTAAATATGCCACATCCATCAACATTTTTCTTAAATGTTCATTATTTTTTTTAAGGAGAGATCAGTTAAGTTGGATAGTAAACTGTGTGCAGGAATCTGAATTAGAAACAACATGCATATGTAGGAATAATCAATGAGGCAAAATCTTCATTTTTTATACATCTCAATTCATCTGGTTAACATTAAATAGTTGGTCTCTAGAACAATATTTGTTGTAGCCAATATTACACTTTTAAGTTACATACTTAATCCAATCAGAAACGTTTTAAACATGTTTCCATCATAACAATTAGTAAGATATTGTGCGCCATTGTATCAATACAGTAATTCATAGTATCCTACTTTCATCGAGAAAAAAATATCTATTCAAGAAAAAAAGAGCTTACATCATAAATATAGACCTTTTCCACTGAAAAACAGCATGTTCCAACTGTGGTTATCTGGAAAAATAATAAAATAAGTATGATTCAAGATATATAAGCTATTAACTCATATATAAAATAAATATACTGACTGCAACTATGATCCAATGATCAATATGAAGAAGTCCATAAAAAAATAAAAGAATGATAAATCGGGCAAGTGAGGCCATCTAAAAAAAAAAAAAAATGTACGCAGTAGTTACAAGATAAACAAAAATTCAACCAATATAAGGTAATTTATAACTTATTCTTACAACAACATCAGAGAGAGATGTCTTTATACTATAGTGAACTATTTCTCTGTAAAAAGCGTCTGTAAAATTGAAGTTCCCAGCCAACTAAAAAATATATAGAAAAATGAGCTAATAATTTAAAAAAACTATAAGACAAATCAAAGCATATTATAAATTATTATAGGATCTATAATAAATAGTAATAACACAGACTATCATTTAGATTGTACAAATTGTACTTTCTACACATAAGGACAAACATATCCTATATAAGAAGAGGTCAAACCCTCAACCTAAAGTTTACCTAATAATGTTGAGTGTTGTTCAACATTATTTGTGAAGTAGAATATCCAGAAAACCAAGAAAATTCAGTTGACCAATTAAACAACTGGAAAATAGATGAACTACAAACATTTGAAGTTGGGAATAATGCCACAAATATAATTAGTCCTAATTAGTTATCAAAATATCAACATAGCTTTATTGAAAAATGCTTAACCACCAAAAAGTCAAAATCAGAGTACAATTTATTATGGGATGTAAACTTATAAATAACCATATATTGAAAATTTAGTTTTCCCACCTTAATATCTTAACACCTACTATATACCATAAACAACAAATTTTAAATATATAAATTTTTTTTTTTTAATATACTTGGAGAAGGCTCATTCTGTACTACAAAGCTACATTCAAAAGTATAAATGAAGAGTAAAAAACAAATGTTAGTTGGGAATTAAAGGACGTTTCAATTTTCTTCTAAGTTTTATAAATAGTGTTTAAAACTTGTTCAAAAACTAACATTAATTTATATTATATTAATTAACTGATTTTATATTAATTTATTTCAAGTTTATACTTGAAATAAATTAATATAAAATCAGCACTCGTCAAAAAATGAATATCTAGAATAGTAGTCAGAAGGTATACATATAATATATAATTGGAAACCGGAGAATTTTAGATCAAATAATATCTAACAAATAGAGTTGTAGAAGATGATGGAAAGTGAAAAAAAAAAATAATACTTTCTGAAAACTAACATTATTTAACGTAAATCACATGTTTCCAAGGAAATTAAATGAAATATTCTTGCTAAATGTAAACTTTTAACATTTTTTTTAAGTTATAAAAAATATTTAAAATCTACCAAATCAAGGAAATGAGATTGTTTAAAATACTATTTCATTGTACTTGCAGAAAAGAAAAAGTGAAATATAAAAATATTTTAGGATATGTTTATAACCTTAAATACGTTAACTGTAGTTTAATAACTCTAGATCTGATATTATATTTAAATAATTAGATATCTATTGTCCATTTATTCCAAAAAATCATGTAAACTTTTAGAAAATTAAATTAGTGAATAATTTTCCCTTTGTGATATCACCTCAGTATATCACAGTATCCTCTTACAATTAGTGTGACAACTTTTGACCTATCTACGACAGGCAATGCAAATCTTGTAATTCCATTTTATTAAACTTTGCAATGAAAAAAAAACAGTCTAATAATTAATAGTCGAACAGTCCATAATCAACGGGATCGTACAATCCGTAATCAACCGTCGATATAATAAAAAGGATTTTAATTGTATCAATGATTTGTTAACTTTAACGATTGTAAGCTTTAACTCTATTGCACATCAGAAATTTTATAATAGCCCAACATTGCCAGAACATAATTTATATTCAAGTAGAGCAGTAAGTGGAAATTGTGTGAAAATTACACACTCCAGATTTTTATATAAGACCTTTTGCACTAACAATAGCGATACAATATTAGATTAATTTTTCGAAATATTCATCTGTCAATCATTTCAATGGATATTTACCAACTAATAATTAATAAAATATATATATTTAGATATAACATCAATTAGTAATTATCAATGAATTAATATCAGTATGCTCCCACATTTGTCTCTCAAAGCATAAAGCATACATGTAAATTTAATAAATGGCTCCAATAGAAGATAAATGCAAGAGAAAGAGAGAGAGGAGAAAAAAAAAAAAAGGACTAAAACAAATTTAACATTAAAAATCTGTCAAAAAACCATTGATAGAATGTCAATTACCATTGGACTTAAAACAATTAATTTAATTGGTAATAATTAATTAATTGTTCACACAAAATTCAATAATAAACAATATTATAATAATTGTTCACATAAAATTAAAAAAAAAATTGGGTTCATATTCAGTATTAATGGAAAAAAATTTGCTGTCAGTATTGCTGGGTATTATGCAATCGAGGTTTCCTGACTGAAGAATTCCAAATTATAAGCAACTGAGACAATGCTTTAGTGCTACATAAAAAAAAAAGTTACAAAGAAAAGAGCACATTTATAAATTAGAAATGACATCCATCAATAATAATGATAAAAATAATATAGTTTTAATGAAAACGCAATGAATCAGTGAACAAAATTCTCTTAATATTAATTTCTTCACAAAGTAAAGTAATTGAGGCAAATATTTCAATTAAGTTATAAAAACAAAGATGCTAACAAAGTAAATTAAAGGCTTTGAATTATACTAGATACAAGGACTAATTAGCCATGTTCAGGTTTGAACATAAAAAAAACTCTGTTTTATTCCAAAACCCCTGTTTTTCTCCATAATTTTCAAGGCCAATGATTAACATAAATCACAAATATCATTGCAAATCGGAACTTACGAAATGCCTTTTCTAAAAACCGGTATTAGTATTACAAGTAACACTATACATTGGTGTGAATATGGATTGATAATGTTATTCGTAAAACCGATTCCTTTACATGAAATTTAAAGAAAATGAAATAATCAAGTTAATGGTAAGGAAAATTTGGAAACATACTAATTTCCAATGAAATTCTAAATATTCTCCTTTGGGTCTGATGTAAAACAGGTATTTTTGGTATTTGACCTTTTACAGCCTTTGAAAGACACAAACTCAATAGACCATGTATTATCAGGATTAACAATGATTTTGTAAAATAATAACTATCACTTAATCATTATAAGTATTGATGAAAGCTTAATGGTTGAAGCAAACAAGTTGGTCTATTTCGTTGAGGTCATTTTGATCACTTGATAAGTTTGATCTAAGTCAGAAATATATTTACTGATTACATATCTATTTACAGACCAATAAACCATCGAAAATAAAAAGTAAAATTGGATTAAATTCTATTGGACAATTAATACAGATTCATCAACCTAGGATTAAACAAGAAAAACTTAAAAACATAATGTTGACAAGTACTAAATAACTTGAAACTGAAGTGCACTGTTCAGAGATATCAATTTGATTAAATACTTTTTCTAATATTATTAATCCTTAATAATTTTCCTTCAATAGAGCTTCATCCTTATTTCATAGTTTTACTTATTCTGTTTGAAAGTCGTCGGTTTTTAAGGAATTTGAATATTACAGAAAAATAGATTAATTTCAAGTATATATTTTTGGAAAAAACAAAACAAGCCAGACTTATATAAAATGCAACCTATAAAATAATTTATCATAGAGATATTATTAAAAAAACTTACCACAAGGCATATGAGCCAAATAAGACTTGTCAGTAGTACATCGAAGGTTACAAATAAACAGAAGAACCTTCTTACAGCAGACATTCTTCCATTTACCTGGATCCCCCTTGCTACATCTTCTGACATAGCATGACATGTTGTACAAAATGCACTATGCACACCACCTACATTGTGTCAATTTTTTAAAGAATAACAGTCATCAGAAATTATGATCCAATATTAATAAAGCCAAAAACAACTTGATTAAGCACATACAGTTATAAGTTAAACCATTATTAAAGATTCCTTGAGAAAGATAAGGTCCAGGAAGAAATCCCTCTCTTGTTTCAGGTATAGAATGTTCAGTCATTGTCGTACAATAGATAACATAATTGTAAAAATAATGAAGAAAACACTTCTTTAGATAAAAAAACTTACAATATATATACTAAGATCGATATAATTTACTAAGTAGGACAAGGTTAAAATAAATAGAAATAAGAAACAGCTAATAACTAAGTAACCACCCGAAACCTCACTGAGCAGTTGACAAACAAGTACCAGCTGATGGAGCAGCTGAATGGTGACTTGAGTCATGTGACCAAACTGTCCAATTTCATTGGTTCAAAATCTTTGAATTTTCTTGGGGACTTTTCTTTGTTAGGCCATAATCTTTTTAACTTTAAGCAATTTTATTTTAAGTAGTTTTCTTCTTTTTTTTTCCTGATTCATTATTTGATGGTAATATCTTTCATAGTTTAAAGTCAAAATATTATTAAAACGGATTATAACTATACACACTGCATATTCTTTTCAATAATTTAAATTTTTAATTGGTAGATCTAATACTATGTTAATTTATTTAATTCATAACTTTCATGTATCAGACATAAAAACAGTTAACACGAGAAAGATATATTATTACGTTTTAAAATTATTGTATTGGAAATTTTATATTGATGAAATGAATAAGTTAATAAATAATTACCAATAATTATAAGGTACATTTTAAATTAATTAAATCTATAAGAAGATGCATAAATACGTTTTGATGTATTTTTATTTGTTGCTCTGCGCAGTTGGCAATAATATAAAAATTGGCTCTATAAACGGAGGCGGTCTTAATAGTAGTACGTAATGCTAACTTGGTTTTGTGATTCTGAGGTTTCATGTGAAGTGATTATGTAATATAATCTTTATTTTCGGTACTATTATGTGTATTATACGTTCCAGAAAACAGAAATAGTTGTTCCTAAGCGTTTCAGGCTACTTTTCACTAAAGGTATTAATGAAAAATCTTTTAATAGTTAGAGATTAATTTCACTCTCTACAGTGATGTACAAAAGAGTCTGTGGCTTCCCCAATTCTTTAATATTGTTTTTCCATTAAAATAAAGAAATAATTATCAATCATTGTGTACTAGCATTTTACATACATTAGCAAATTGTATGTATACTAATTCACACTTGATTATAAGTTGTCCTCCGGAATGAACTCCTTTGTGCAACCCTGTTTTTTATACTAAAAAAAAAAATGAAATCTCTTATTATAGTTTTTAATTTTACATATTTAAACTAATGGTTTAATTTATTTACTAAGTTAATAAATTTATTATTTCACAAACACGCACGTACTATAATATAAATTACATACCTATATCAAGTGCAAATTTGTTTCAGTTAAGATTTTTACAGTTCATAAGTGAAAATGAAAAAAAAAAAATACAATTTTTATTAATCACTACCTCAATAACTAACTCTTAAATCGTATCTATAATGGGTAACATTTAAATGTTTTAATTGAATTTTAAGTCACCGAAAGTAGAAGGAAGCTTGCTGCTCGTGTTTATTTATCGAACTAGTTTGTACACTTTTTTTTACAAAAAATATGTTAATTATTAAAAAACTCTGACCCTTAACGCGGAGGAGGAAATGGAAAACGCCCTGAGGAAATTGAAAAATGGAAAGGCGCCAGGCCCGGACGGAATCCAGTCAGAGCTGTTGAAATGTGGAGGTGAAGAACTCAAGAAAGCTCTGCATGATTTAATGCTGACCATCTGGGAGAAGGAAGCTATGCCTACGGAATGGGCAACAGCCATTATCTGCCCAATACATAAGAAAGGAGATCAAACAGAATGCGCTAACTATCGAGGAATCTCACTCCTTTCGTGTGCTTATAAGCTGCTCTCTAACATTCTTTTTGAGAGGATCCTCCCGTATTCTGAAAAGGAACTGGGAAAATATCAGGCTGGATTTCGAAGAGGACGCTCAACGACTGATCAACTGTTCTCTCTGAGGATGATCCTAGAAAAGACTATGGAGCGTAAGGTAGTCACCCACCATTTATTCCTGGACTTTAAAGCAGCATACGACAGCGTTGATAGAACGCAACTATACTGTGCCTTGGAGGAGCTAAGCATCCCTCAGAAGCTCGTACGCCTAATCAAGATGACCATGGACAGCTCGAGATGCAGAATACGCGTCGGTTCTGACGACTCCGAAGAGTTTAAAGTGAGCAGTGGGGTTAGGCAAGGGGATGCCCTCGCCTGTCTATTGTTCAATTTGGCAGAGGAGAAAGCTGTAAGAGACTCCGGTATTCAGACCAAAGATATAATCTTCAATCGCCTGACACAGCTTCTTGGTTATGCTGATGATATTGACATAGTAGGTAGGTCTGAACGGGCTCTCAGAGAAGCGTTTATAAGCCTTGAAGCAGCTGCAAGACCACTTGGTCTAGAAGTCAACGAGAGGAAAACTAAGTATATGAGAGTTGGCGGCGAGGTTGATCTGAACTCTCCATTTGAGGTAGGTTCTTTTAAGTTTGAGAGAGTGAAAAGTTTTATATACCTTGGGTCTGAAATCAATAGCAAGAATGACATGGCTCAAGAAATACAAAGAAGGATCACGGCTGCCAATAGATGTGTCTTTGGACTTGGCCGACACTTAAGAAGTAGGTACCTCTCAAAGAAGACCAAGTTGATCATATACAAGACCCTTGTTCGGCCTGTTTTGACATATGGCTCAGAGGCTTGGACGATGACCAAAAGGGATGAGATGAAGCTGAGTGTCTTTGAGCGAGGAGTCCTCAGAAGGATTTATGGTCCAGTAAAGGAGGGTGATGTCTGGAGGAAAAGAAAAAATAGGGAGCTCAGTTCTCTCTATGCAGACATCGACGTAGTCACGTATATTAAACTGGCCAGACTAAGGTGGGCAGGGCATGTGGCCAGAATGAGCACCCTTGAAATACCAAAAAAAATAATGATGGAGGAGCTGCACCTCGCAAGACGGGTAGGAAGGCCGAGGACGAGATGGTTGGACAACGTGGCCTATGATGCGAGAACCCTGCTTGGTGTGCGGAACTGGAGAGCTGCAGCAGAAGACAGAGCCAACTGGCGGAGGCTCTTGGAGGAGGCCCAGTCTCGGTGACGGGATGTTGTGCCATACATGAATGACATGAATGACCCTTAACGCACAAAACAAGCAACCGCACAGAAACAGTAATTCAGAAATTGAAACTGTTTCATCCTTTTCACAGATCATATTAAATGCAGGCGGGATGAGAGAGGTGTGAGTAGTCGGGGTTGGAGCACTCCCTATTTTATACCTTTTGAATTCACTGCAAATACCTATAAGGACAACATTTTTGGGAAAATGAATTTTTGAGCTTGTCTGGTCAATCTTGCCCTAGCGCAAATTCCGATCACACAAAATGAAATCTACGATGTTTCATTTCTTCTCTATGGCTATTTGTGAAAAAGTGTATGTTAAAAACGAGCGAATTGTGGTGTAAAATCCTGTAAGTTACAGTGACAGTTATAGTCAGTGGTACAGTTACCCCTTTTTATCGAATTATTAACATCCGCCTGAAACTTCTTAAATAGTTTCATCTCATCGTAACCTACAAATATTTTATTTACGAAAACTTGGGGCGTTTTTGATCTGGAGAGAGACAAACTTTGTTTATTTAATTAGGCACTAAAAACTCGTAAATACACATTTGATTTTTACTTAGATCGTAAGATAATTTGATCACAAAATGGAGAAAAAAAGGTAGTATTAAAAATATTGGGCCGATTGTCTTATATAACCTCGTTATTTTGAAAATTTGAGGGTGTAGGGCAAGCCTAAGGGCTGAATATGTTTGAAGGCCACCTTTTTTCTCGATTTTGTGATCAAATTATCTTACGATCCAAGTAGAAAGCAAGTGTGGATTTGCGAGTTTTTAGTACCTAATTAAATAAACAAAGTTTGTCCCCCTCCAGATTGAAAACGTCCCAATTCCAAGAGTTTTTGTAAATAAACTAGTTGTAGGTTACGATGAGATGAAACTATTTAAGAAGTTTCAGGCGGATGTTAATAAGTCGATAAAGTAAATTGCAATATCCAGAAAGTTTTTCAATCCAGCTGATAATTAATTAATTTATTTATAATAAATTTAGAAATTTCTTCGATAAAGAGTAACAGTACTTGAGATAACCGATATGAAGATCTTCCACTTTCTAAACTCTTATCTGTTTATGGGCACAAAATATATAACGGTATAGTGATAATGGGATCTTTTGGATAGCACTGGGATATGCTATTTATAGTTCTATTTTCATGTAAATTTTATATTTAGTTTGTTTAAATGAATTAATTATTAATTTTCTCAATTCTTTCCAAACTTTTAATGGCTATTCATCATACTTTTTTTTTTGTTTTGTAATTCTTCTGTAAGTGTCAGGTTGGAGAAGAAGTAAGAAGAGAAGTTGTCTCGGGTTGAAGAATTTAGAGGGCGGCAATGAATTATTTATTTTTTAGTTTAGTTCAAAATGTTGTTTTCTGCTTTTTGATCTTTATTAAGTTCATAAAATTTGTTTATGTTATTAGATGATGATAGTCATTTAATATATTGCCTAAGATAATGTTATAAAATTATTGAATTTTATTGAAGAGAGAGTTAAAAAAAGTTTCCCCGAAGGTACAAAAAAGGTTCGAATTCCCCTAAAACCTTAAATCGACTTTTTGATTGAGCTGGCAGCATTTTCGTAATAGTATCAGCCTATCTTTCGGAGCACTATCAGCCTGTAAGGTTGAATATTTGCTTAAAACACCACGGCTTTTTTGGCCCTGGCTTCAAGTCTATTAATTCTGGAGTCGGATTAATTGTGTGTCTGATTGTGGATAAATACGGGTTAGTAAAAAAATATATATTAATAACAATTGCATATATGTATATATATTGAATTCCTTGTAGACCTGGTATTCCTTTCATTGCAGACATTTTTAATTTTTTTTTGTCGGGGAAGAGGAGAGTGGAATATCTTTGTTGGGAAGAAATATTTTTAATATTGTTTTATCTATGTAAGAACATTGGTCAAAAAAGCGATATATCTATTTTTTTTAAGATCTCTATTATTTATGTAAATGAGGTTACTCGGTCGTTAAACATGGTTTCCGATATCTTTGAGGACTTGAGGTTTTTGTCAACACTAAAATGCTTACTCCTAATTTCATAAGATTTTTGATAAAATCTGTACAAAATGTGTTTT